TCTGCAGAAACACACACACACATCACACACACACACACACACATCTCAACAACTGTACACACACACATCTCATCTCAACAACTGTACACACACACCCCACATCTCAACAACTGTACACACACACATCTCAACAACTGTACACACACACCCCACATCTCAACAACTGTACACACACACATCTCAACAACTGTACACACACACCCCACATCTCAACAACTGTACACACACACATCACAACAACTGTACACACACACACATCACAACAACTGTACACACACACATCAACTGTACACACACACACCTCTGCTCAGCTCCAGGTTGTATTTGTTCTCCAGACCCTCCAAAGACACCAGAATAACAAACTGCTGGAACAACGGATCTGTCTGCAACACACACACACACACACACACACACACACACACACACACACACACACACACACACACAACACACACACACACACACACACACACACACACACACACACACACACACACACACACAGCACACACACACACACACACACACACACACACACACACACACACACACCACACACACACACACACACACACACACACACACACAGAGTGAGGTGAGAACATTTCTTTGGATTTAATAACTACAGCGCGCTGGCGCCCTCTGCTGGTTCAGTGTAGTAAATGACAAATACAAAATACACACGCACACACACACACCTGGCACTTCTGGAAGAATTCCTGGTTGATGACGACGTCGTACGCGGTGCAGGCCTGGGAGTCTGAAACAGAGAGAGTCATGGGAAATATTTATATTGCTTTTTTAAACGACACAAAGACAGACGATGGGACAATGGAGACAAAAAAAAAAAACTGCTACAAAAACACCTTAAAAATGAAAAAGCAATTTGTGTTGTGGAAGATTAGGATCTCTGTATAGGTGTGTGTGTATGTATGCATATATAGGTGTGTGTATATGTGTATGTGAAAGTACATGTTTGTATACATATATATATATATATGTTAGGGATGGGAATGATTAATCGAATATTCAAAATGGTTCAGGTATTCGAATGTGAGTTATGAATATTTTTTATTGTAATCTTCTTTTTTTTTAACGAAAGTTATATCTTAAATATCTTGAGAAAAATAGGTTTGGTTTCCATATTTATTTGAACATTTATTTATTATTATTATTATTAAAAAAAAAAAGTATAGGATATGTAAATTCGGTTAACCGTTTTTTTTGGGTGTCGAATATTCGAATATACATTTTCTTTCAAATTCCCACCCCTAATACATGTATATATGTATGTGTGTGTGTTTAAGTAGATACATGTACATGTGTAGATATTTGTCATTTCAAAGAACGCCTATGTACTTTTTCATTTGTATTATATTTGATCATATTTGTTCTCTAAAGAGATATGATTTGCAAAACTGTACTTTTAATGTGACACAATTACTGGACATAAAATACACACTGTTTTCACACACACATGTAAATAATATGTACACATGACCAAATATGTATATATGTTCATTTTAATTAATTTCTTTGATTTGATCCTTAATTGTATTAATCTGTGCTGTCCTGTTTTTCATTCTTACCCTGTTGCTGTTAAACTACTGAATTTCTCATCTCATCTCCTCTCCTCTCCTCTCCTCTCCTCTCCTCTCCTCTCCTCTCCTCTCCTCTCCTCCTCCTCTCCTCTCCTCTCCTCTCCTCTCCTCTCCTCTCCTCTCCTCTCCTCTCCTCTCCTCTCCTCTCCTCTCCTCTCCTCTCATCTCCTCTCATCTCATCTTAATATAATGTGTACCCAAATAAATAAAAGAATATTAGGATCTCCATGTTTCCATACGGCCCTTTAGCAGACACTCCAGGATGCAGAACAGCTGTTGGGTCACTTATGATTTAGTGATGGATTTGACCACGAAGGGTTCAATGTCCTCATGACACAGATATGATTTGATGAGCTCCAGCTTTCAGAGTTTCTTTCGAGCCCCTGAAGTCTGAACTTGCGTGATAGTTTGTGGCATCTCTCAGAGTGAAGTACGTGTTCCTATTGTCTAAAGATTACTGTGACAAAAGCAATATGTTGAAACACGACTGTGAAACCTCTCCTGATGAGGATGAGATGAGCCTGGAGCAGGGCAGCAGGTCAGAGTTGCACCACAATGCAATAGCCGCTTTCACACCAAGTACTTTGCCGCACTTAGTGCCCCAGCACTTAATGCCCCAGCACTTAGTGCCCCGGCACTTAATGCCCCAGCACTTAGTGCCCCAGCACTTAGTGCCCCGGCACTTAATGCCCCAGCACTTAGTGCCCCAGCACTTAGTGCCCCAGCACTAAGTACAGATCGCGTTCATACCGGAATAAGTTCCCTGAGGGAAGATTAGGCAAATGAGCCGCTGACGTCACTTCTTCTTCTTCTGCTCTGGGTTTACTGGCAGGCAGCAAACAACTTCACGGCGTATACTGCCACCCGAAGTCCCCGGCCGGAATCCCCCTGAGTTGGGGACTGGCTTCAGTAGAAGCTGCTGGGACTCCCAGCATCTTCTACTGAAGCCTTCAGAGGAAATCACCAGAACGCCGACACCTCCTCATCTCCACCGCTCCCATGTTTTCTTTTGTGTTGCCGTAAGTTATTCTCTCTCCGTTGGTGCGCTGGGCGAATGCTAATGCTAATAATGCTAATGCCACAAATACAATGGCGGCTTCACAAAACTTTTCAGAGTTTTACGGGGCGTGGTTTGTAGACATGCTCATATTCTTAAAGAAGAATGAGTATTGAATAGCTGCATTCTGTGCATAGGCCCTGTTACAGGTTGATCTCTGTTGTGATAGGGTCACGTTACCCTAACCCGTTATGGTGTTCATGTATGATCCCGCTTTAATTTAAAAACCAAGTTATGTTTTAAGCATGAAAGCTGTAGGCCTATAGCTGTCAACTGTTCAAACTGTGATCACCAGTTCAATACATTTGACAAATTCGACTTGGTTTCTAAACTTATTTGAACATGCATTTATTTATTTTTCAAAATTATTATTATAATTTTTCTTTTTTGTAAAATATTTTCCCACATTCTTTATAGGATATTTACATTTCAGTTAATCGGTTAACCGTTTTTTTGGGGGTCGAATATTCGAATATACATTTGCTTTCAAATTCCCATCCCTAGTGCATATGATGATAACACAAGCAAGCTATGATAAGAGCTTCAGATGTGAAGTAATGAGGTGATCACGTACTGTTGTCGGTCTCGGTGTGCGGCTCTCCGAGGCTCATGGGGACTCTGAACCCACTGGGGTCTTCAGACTGAAGCAGATCCACCAGCTCGTCTCTGGAGATCTCCGGAGGAAGAGGGACGACCGGAGACTGGCAGACGTTCACAAAGATCTTCTGTTTATCTGGCTCTGTGACGGTCTTCACACACAGACCTGAGAGGGGGGATAAGACACAGATTAAGAGTCAAGTACACAATAAAGTTATCTATGAAACAACGTTAGCACTGTCTTTCAAATTTGATATAAATCGCATAGAGTGGTGCAGGAATAAGCATTTTATCACTTTCTGTCCCCTGGTGTGAAAGTCAATGGTTCTCTGAATGTGTTTTTGGTTGTTAGCCTGAAATCAGGTCTGTGGTTAACACAAGCTGAAGAGATTTTTGTTCTACGACATAAAACATGTCAGTAAATACCCCAGTGCTGTAGTTCCTTTATAGCCCAACATTAGCCGCCTTTAGCTTAGCGGTGGTGACGTGAAGTCATGTGACCTTGCTGTAATTCCTTTATAGCCCAACATTAGCCGCCTTTAGCTTAGCGGTGGTGACGTGAAGTCATGTGACCTTGCTGTAATTCCTTTATAGCCCAACATTAGCCGCCTTTAGCTTAGCGGTGGTGACGTGAAGTCATGTGACCGTGCTGTAGTTCCTTTATAGCCCAACATTAGCCACCTTTAGCTTAGCGGTGGTGACGTGAAGTCATGTGACCGTGCTGTAGTTCCTTTATAGCCCAACATTAGCCTCCTTTAGCTTAGCGGTGTTGACGTGAAGTCATGTGACCTTGCTGTAATTCCTTTATAGCCCAACATTAGCCGCCTTTAGCTTAGCGGTGGTGACGTGAAGTCATGTGACCGTGCTGTAGTTCCTTTATAGCCCAACATTAGCCACCTTTAGCTTAGCGGTGGTGACGTGAAGTCATGTGACCGTGCTGTAGTTCCTATATAGCCCAACATTAGCTCTTTACTTCAGAAATCGTAAAGTGGTGTTAATATATTATCCTGATGAATTAAATGTGTAAATATCATAAACGTTGAGATTGTTTTCTGCAATAATCAAAAATCACGTGGAGGAATCCCATTGGTCCAGGGAGATGCTGCCTTCAGGGACCAACACAGAAATACGTCAAATACGTTACTCACCGGGCTGCGGTCGGATCACTTTGGATTCTGGATTTTCAGTCGGCATTTTTCCCACCGTCTGAACAGAGAGAGATCAGTATGTGTTTGAGATTCAGACATACTCAACTTCATTAGAGGAGAGAAAAGTTAAGTACTACAAAAACTCTAAATCCTGCCCAGTATCTGTGTCTGATATCTAGTCAGAATATTTCTCTGCACCTGATATAAGACACAATAACTTCAGAGGTAACACTGCAGTGAGATATAGGCTCTTGTTTTTAGACAATGCATCATCTTGTTAACTCAAAACATCTTATTTTGAGTTGTATCTCAGAGGAAACACATATTGTTTTACATATTTATTGGAAAATCACCAACTAGCATCAGGAAACAGAAAACGTTTGAGCATTTGCAGCTAAATATAGTTCAAAATGAGTTCTCCCAGCTAATTACAAGATGTGATTTATCTAAATGTCCCTTCTTATTTCAAGTGCTCTTACCAAGCTGATGCTCACTTGTTCTATTGGCAGATCTTTGTACTTATTTCAAGTGAAAACAGCTTGTTAACTTGTTTTTGGAGCAGCATTTGTTCCAGTGTACATGCAGCTTCTCTAAAGCACCTGTTATTGAAAAGGAAAGAGGCAACTCAATCTGAAATACATGCCCGATAATGTGCTGAAGATAGTGTGTTACTTTCTTTACTCTCATCACATTTCCAGTAAATGTCCGCTGCAGTCTGGCAGTGGTCAATACACTTATGCAATCACTTCCCATTGGCTGGATCACTTCCCATTGGCTGCATCACTTCCCATTGGCTGGATCCAAATGGAAAGAATCTGATTAATGCTGAGGTTAGAGAAAGTAACCATCAGTTGATAAAACCCAGAAGGCTTGTGTGTACTTAATAGGAGGAGTTTATAAAGAACCCAGAATACCCACCCTGTATTCTCACAGGTCCTCTGAGGTTATTTGGCGCTGCCTCAGAAACTAAAGCCGAAGAGCAAATGTGTCAGAACCGCAGAATGTAATTTAGTTTAACGACCTGTAAGATAAACTTCAAACTAATAACACGGTCCTGTGAGCCAATATCCATGATATAAACCTGCAGTAGAAGTACCCAGATCTTGTACTTGAGTAAAAGTAGAAGTACTCAGATCTTGTACTTGAGTAAAAGTAGAAGTATTCAGATCTTGTATTTGAGTAAAAGTAGAAGTACTCAGATCTGTACTTGAGTAAAAGTAGAAGTACTCAGATCTGTACTTGAGTAAAAGTAGAAGTACTCAGATCTTGTACTTGAGTAAAAGTAGAAGTACTCAGATCTGTACTTGAGTAAAAGTAGAAGTACTCAGATCTGTACTTGAGTAAAAGTAGAAGTACTCAGGTCTTGTATTTGAGTAAAAGTAGAAGTACTCAGGTCTTGTACTTGAGTAAAAGTAGAAGTACTCAGGTCTTGTACTTGAGTAAAAGTAGAAGTATTCAGATCTTGTATTTGAGTAAAAGTAGAAGTACTCAGATCTGTACTTGAGTAAAAGTAGAAGTACTCACATCTTGTACTTGAGTAAAAGTAGAAGTATTCAGATCTTGTATTTGAGTAAAAGTAGAAGTACTCAGATCTGTACTTGAGTAAAAGTAGAAGTACTCAGATCTGTACTTGAGTAAAAGTAGAAGTACTCAGATCTTGTACTTGAGTAAAAGTAGAAGTACTCAGATCTGTACTTGAGTAAAAGTAGAAGTACTCAGATCTGTACTTGAGTAAAAGTAGAAGTATTCAGATCTTGTACTTGAGTAAAAGTAGAAGTACTCAGATCTGTACTTGAGTAAAAGTAGAAGTACTCAGATCTTGTACTTGAGTAAAAGTAGAAGTACTCAGGTCTTGTACTTAGTAAAAGTAGAAGTACTCAGATCTTGTACTTGAGTAAAAGTAGAAGTACTCAGATCTTGTACTTGAGTAAAAGTAGAAGTACTCAGATCTTGTACTTGAGTAAAAGTAGAAGTACTCAGATCTTGTTCTTGAGTAAAAGTAGAAGTACTCAGATCTTGTACTTGAGTAAAAGTAGAAGTACTCAGATCTGTACTTGAGTAAAAGTAGAAGTACTCAGATCTGTACTTGAGTAAAAGTAGAAGTACTCAGATCTTGTACTTGAGTAAAGTAGAAGTACTCAGATCTGTACTTGAGTAAAAGTAGAAGTACTCAGATCTGTACTTGAGTAAAAGTAGAAGTACTCAGATCTGTACTTGAGTAAAAGTAGAAGTACTCAGGTCTTGTATTTGAGTAAAAGTAGAAGTACTCAGGTCTTGTACTTGAGTAAAAGTAGAAGTACTCAGGTCTTGTACTTGAGTAAAAGTAGAAGTATTCAGATCTTGTATTTGAGTAAAAGTAGAAGTACTCAGATCTGTACTTGAGTAAAAGTAGAAGTACTCAGATCTTGTACTTGAGTAAAAGTAGAAGTATTCAGATCTTGTATTTGAGTAAAAGTAGAAGTACTCAGATCTGTACTTGAGTAAAAGTAGAAGTACTCAGATCTGTACTTGAGTAAAAGTAGAAGTACTCAGATCTTGTACTTGAGTAAAAGTAGAAGTACTCAGATCTGTACTTGAGTAAAAGTAGAAGTACTCAGATCTGTACTTGAGTAAAAGTAGAAGTACTCAGATCTGTACTTGAGTAAAAGTAGAAGTACTCAGGTCTTGTATTTGAGTAAAAGTAGAAGTACTCAGGTCTTGTACTTAGTAAAAGTAGAAGTACTCAGATCTGTACTTGAGTAAAAGTAGAAGTACTCAGGTCTTGTATTTGAGTAAAAGTAGAAGTACTCAGGTCTTGTACTTGAGTAAAAGTAGAAGTACTCAGGTCTTGTACTTGAGTAAAAGTAGAAGTATTCAGATCTTGTATTTGAGTAAAAGTAGAAGTACTCAGATCTGTACTTGAGTAAAAGTAGAAGTACTCAGATCTTGTACTTGAGTAAAAGTAGAAGTATTCAGATCTTGTATTTGAGTAAAAGTAGAAGTACTCAGATCTGTACTTGAGTAAAAGTAGAAGTACTCAGATCTGTACTTGAGTAAAAGTAGAAGTACTCAGATCTTGTACTTGAGTAAAAGTAGAAGTACTCAGATCTGTACTTGAGTAAAAGTAGAAGTACTCAGATCTGTACTTGAGTAAAAGTAGAAGTATTCAGATCTTGTACTTGAGTAAAAGTAGAAGTACTCAGATCTGTACTTGAGTAAAAGTAGAAGTACTCAGATCTTGTACTTGAGTAAAAGTAGAAGTACTCAGGTCTTGTACTTAGTAAAAGTAGAAGTACTCAGATCTTGTACTTGAGTAAAAGTAGAAGTACTCAGATCTTGTACTTGAGTAAAAGTAGAAGTACTCAGATCTTGTACTTGAGTAAAAGTAGAAGTACTCAGATCTTGTTCTTGAGTAAAAGTAGAAGTACTCAGATCTTGTACTTGAGTAAAAGTAGAAGTACTCAGATCTGTACTTGAGTAAAAGTAGAAGTACTCAGATCTGTACTTGAGTAAAAGTAGAAGTACTCAGATCTTGTACTTGAGTAAAAGTAGAAGTACTCAGATCTGTACTTGAGTAAAAGTAGAAGTACTCAGATCTGTACTTGAGTAAAAGTAGAAGTACTCAGATCTGTACTTGAGTAAAAGTAGAAGTACTCAGGTCTTGTATTTGAGTAAAAGTAGAAGTACTCAGGTCTTGTACTTGAGTAAAAGTAGAAGTACTCAGGTCTTGTACTTGAGTAAAAGTAGAAGTATTCAGATCTTGTATTTGAGTAAAAGTAGAAGTACTCAGATCTGTACTTGAGTAAAAGTAGAAGTACTCAGATCTTGTACTTGAGTAAAAGTAGAAGTATTCAGATCTTGTATTTGAGTAAAAGTAGAAGTACTCAGATCTGTACTTGAGTAAAAGTAGAAGTACTCAGATCTGTACTTGAGTAAAAGTAGAAGTACTCAGATCTTGTACTTGAGTAAAAGTAGAAGTACTCAGATCTGTACTTGAGTAAAAGTAGAAGTACTCAGATCTGTACTTGAGTAAAAGTAGAAGTACTCAGATCTGTACTTGAGTAAAAGTAGAAGTACTCAGGTCTTGTATTTGAGTAAAAGTAGAAGTACTCAGGTCTTGTACTTGAGTAAAAATAGAAGTACTCAGGTCTTGTACTTGAGTAAAAGTAGAAGTATTCAGATCTTGTATTTGAGTAAAAGTAGAAGTACTCAGATCTGTACTTGAGTAAAAGTAGAAGTACTCAGATCTTGTACTTGAGTAAAAGTAGAAGTATTCAGATCTTGTATTTGAGTAAAAGTAGAAGTACTCAGATCTGTACTTGAGTAAAAGTAGAAGTACTCAGATCTGTACTTGAGTAAAAGTAGAAGTACTCAGATCTTGTACTTGAGTAAAAGTAGAAGTACTCAGATCTGTACTTGAGTAAAAGTAGAAGTACTCAGATCTGTACTTGAGTAAAAGTAGAAGTATTCAGATCTTGTACTTGAGTAAAAGTAGAAGTACTCAGATCTGTACTTGAGTAAAAGTAGAAGTACTCAGATCTGTACTTGAGTAAAAGTAGAAGTACTCAGGTCTTGTATTTGAGTAAAAGTAGAAGTACTCAGGTCTTGTACTTGAGTAAAAGTAGAAGTACTCAGGTCTTGTACTTGAGTAAAAGTAGAAGTATTCAGATCTTGTATTTGAGTAAAAGTAGAAGTACTCAGATCTGTACTTGAGTAAAAGTAGAAGTACTCAGATCTTGTACTTGAGTAAAAGTAGAAGTATTCAGATCTTGTATTTGAGTAAAAGTAGAAGTACTCAGATCTGTACTTGAGTAAAAGTAGAAGTACTCAGATCTGTACTTGAGTAAAAGTAGAAGTACTCAGATCTTGTACTTGAGTAAAAGTAGAAGTACTCAGATCTGTACTTGAGTAAAAGTAGAAGTACTCAGATCTGTACTTGAGTAAAAGTAGAAGTATTCAGATCTTGTACTTGAGTAAAAGTAGAAGTACTCAGATCTGTACTTGAGTAAAAGTAGAAGTACTCAGATCTTGTACTTGAGTAAAAGTAGAAGTACTCAGGTCTTGTACTTAGTAAAAGTA